GGACAAACAGTAGTTGGGGGTGAGGTATCATCCTCCTGAGAGCTGTTAGCAGGGTTTAGATAACCATGAAGTGAATAACCAAGTCTCAGCTGTGGCTTGTTCCAATTTCTATTGCCAAAAGCAAAAATGTAGTGCTTATCATGCCTGATTCTAGCTCAGCTGTCCTCCTGTGGCACAGCTCCCAAAACCATAGGCTTGTTTCTTTCTGCAGCAGCTCCTCCAGGGATAACTGAAGGTAAAATCCAGTCCCTGCTCCTTCACACTGGCTCTCTGAAAAACAAACAAAAAACCCCAGGTGTAACTAGAAACTAAAATGGTGACCCTGAAGAGCTAAGAGATGATTAAAAAGCAGTTATTCTCAGCAACAGGCACAGAGAAAATAAAGTATGTATTTTAATAAAGCAAGAGCAGGAAAAGAAACTTCAACCATTGCCCCTCTACCAAAGGAGGATGGCCTGCAAGACCCCAGAGTGGGTCACAGTAGCCAGGCCATGAAATTTCCCTGAAGACTCACTCACTCACTCAGCAGCTCAGACTTAACTGAGCTCCTTCTTTTCTGAGTCTGGCAGCCTTTCCTGTGGCAACAGCACCCTCCAGCTGCTGCCTCTGCAGCACAGCATCATACGCCTACTGCACTGCCCTGGAAACTGCACCACCTCGCACCAGCTACCTTGGTGACAGGGACATACAGATATTCCCAGGATTCCTGGGCCTCCAAAAAGTAGCAACAGATGCTCCAGCTTTTGTCACTCAGGCACCTAGGCACTTACCCATCACTTCTGGTGTCTGAATTTTCCCTCGCTCCCTGTGTCGGCAGGGCTGTGACCCTCACTGGGTGCTTGGGCTACCCCGTTTCAAAACACTGGATATCATCTGCGCTGAAAAAAACAACACCATTAAGCAGAAGCAAGCAGAATTGAGATAAGACAAGAAACTACTCCCTTAGACTCACCAGAGATCCTCTTCTCTCTTACGCTCTGTTAGGATCCTGTTCTATAGACGCCACCCTAACACATGTTGCCAGGAACAGTCCCCAAACTACCGATGAGATGGGCAGCACTGCAGCTTCCAAAGTGACCTTCCTAATACCATCCATAGCAAGATAAGGAGGAATAAAACCTGATATAATGCCATCACAGGAATCCTGAATAATAAGAACCAACACTGAGCACGAAGTTGCTCAAAGCACAAAGTCACCTCCCTCAAAACCAGGACTGGGTAAAACTGACAGAAGAGAAGACACAAAGATGGACACAGTCCCCAGAAATAGACACCCCTGAGCTCAAAAGACCACCAAGGAACATTAAAAGCCCATGTAAACTCATCAACCTGCTCATCTGCTGGTTCCAAAAGAAAAACATGGAAGGTAACAGACAGAAAACATGTTGAGGCACAGCAATAAAATCTGGGGGTGTAGCACTCTGAAAAAGCCAAACGCTGAAGCGCTCCAAAGACACACAGTAAAGTACTCCAGACAGCAGGGTGATGAAGGGCTACTACAGGGCCACATGTTGAAGAGCTCCAATAAAACACAGGTGCGGAAGCACTCCAAAACAGCGAGGCAGTGAAGCACTGCTCCACGATGGTGCCATTAAGCACTCCAACATACACCAGGCATTGCAGAAATCAAGAAAAAAGCCACAGGGTGAAACACCCCAAAAAGAGCCATGTGGTGGATGTCTCCAAAAAAAAGCCCAACAGGGCAATGTTCCCCAAAAGAACAGGTACTGAAGGACACCCTCCAGGGCTCCCTGGAGAAACACTCTGAAAAATCACAGGTGATGAAGAGAGCAGGAGAGTCAGACAGTGAACAACCCCCTAAAGCAGGGTGGTGAAGGAACCCTCCAGGAGGCTGTGATGAACAACAAGACCTGGGTGGCACAGTGAAGGACTCCAGAAAAGCCAGGTCACACAGAGAAAGGCTACTCCAGGGTGGCATGGAGAAGGACTCCCAAGAACAGCTGGGCAGCACAGGAAGGACTTCAAGAAGACTTGGGTGGCACAGTGCAGGACTCTCAAAAGAGTCAGGCAGCGTCATGCAGGCCTTGTCAGGGGTGGCACAGTGACAAACTCCAAGAAGAGCCAGGAGGGGCAGTGAAGAGTTCCTCCAGACTGGCATGATGAAGGACCCCCCCAGTGTGGCCTGATGAAGGACTCCTCCAAAAGGGCCTGGGGAGGACTCCTCTGGGGGACAATAATGAAGTACTCCAAGAAGAGTCCGGTGCACAATGAAGGACTCCTAATGGGCAGCATGGTGAAGGGCTCCGAGGAGGAGGTGCTATGAGGGGCTCCTCTCAGGACAGCACAGTGTAGGGCTCCTCTGGGGCAGTGTGACAAAGGCTCCAAGAAGAGCTGACAGAACACTGAAGGGCTCCTCCAAGACTACACATAGAAGAGTTAATCCAAGTGGCATAATGAGGGGGTCCTCTGGGGCGGTGCAAGGAGGGGCTCACCCAGCGTGGTGTGATGAAAGGCTTCTTCAAGACAGCACAGTGAAGGGCTCCTTGAGTCTGAACAATGAGTTACTCTGTGATGTGGGGTGCCTCCAGGTTGGCATGATGAGGGGCTCCCTATGGATCTGCATGATGAAGGTGAAGTGCGGAAACAAACTCTAAAACTCAGAGTTATAAAGCAGGCATGTTTATTCCGGCCGGGGTGCAAGGGACTTTCTCCACAAAGCTTGCACACCGTCTCTGGCAAGTAGCCAGATATTTATTACAACAAAACATACATATTCATTTGGAAGTGCTGGGTTATTACAATTAGTTCAGGGAATAGGTGTGATTCTTAGAATTATTCAAGGAGAGAAGTATGTGGTCCTCTTGCAGTGTCCCACTGTTAAGCAAAGTCAAGTTGTCACCTTCCTCTTCATTAATTTTTCAACTTGGCTTCCTGCGCATGATCTCTGGCCCTTCAGTTCCTCTCCAGGTTGTAGAGTTGGCCTTTTACCTGTTTGTTTTGTTAATTAGAACTTTTGTGTCTGTTAAGATGTCCCAGAAAGTAAGTCCTTTAGCTGGTATGTCTCCCCCTTTATCTCAAAGACAGGGATTAGTTTACTATCTATCCTATTTTCTGTAAGAATGTTATCTACTTAACATTGCCTGAGGGCTAGGACTCCTTTGGCTTTTTTTTTTTTTTTCTTTCCTCAGATCAATTCCCCCCTTTTCTTTACCTATGCAAATTCTTTTGCTATATCATGCCATTCCCTTAAAGGGTTTTGGCCAAGTATGCACCTACAGTCCCTACCCATAATCCAACCATGTTGATAATCAGTGTCCATTCTTTCGTTGGAAATATATAATCAGCCAGTTTAATGTTGTGTACAGGCCCCTCCACACCTCAAGCTCTGGTCCCTAGGACCAATTCCCGCAGCCGTTTTTGTAGGCTGATAACTTAATTACTCACTATTTCATTCCCAATCTAAGTTGATGCCTCCCCGCCTGTATCATACACGGTTTCCTATATACTATTTCAAAAGAATTTAATCCCTCCTCAATTCTGGGTTTGGTCCTGATTTTAAAAAGTGCTAAAGACAATGATCGAGGCCAAGGTAATTTGACCTCCTGACCTAGTTTTGTAATTTACTTAAGTGATTCATCTTCTCTACTTGACCACTTGCTTGTGGACTATATAGAATATGTAATTGCCAGTCTATTTCTATGATCAATGCAAGTAATTGTTTTAACCATTTGAACTTTAGTAACCATGAAGCTTGTTCCATATTTCTTCAAAGTCTAAAGAAGCATCGTCTTTTCATGTCTCCTGCAAAATACTTAATTATTGCAATATTATTCCTAAATCTACATTTTTTTTTCTGTTTCACCTATGTGTGTACAACAACTATGATTCACAACTGTGCTCAATCCCCCATGTGAGGCCAACATGATGTTTCACTGTCAGCACTTCAGACTGAGAAATTATTTCATTCGCTAACACTTATTATTTCTGCATGGGAATGCATCTGGACAACCTGAGAAGGTTATCTGTTAATACTAATAAGTACCAACACCCCCCTTTTCTTGGGAGTTCAGAAAAATCTATTTGCCAGTGTTGTCCTGGACTATTACCTTTCACTATAACTCCATTTGTAATGTTACTTGATGTGTTTGGGCTGTGGTTTTTGTTTGGTTTGGGGGTTTTTGAGTAAACTGCATAGTCATCTTATTTGTTTTTCAATTTAACTGCTTGTATAGGGCATCTGCTCCCCAATGTTTTCTTATGTTCACCTAAATCTAACTTCTATTGTATGTTGGAAAGCACTATTATTTGCTCATCTGGAAAATAAACCCATCCATCTTTTCCTTTATTACCCTTTAGATCATTAATCAATTTTTGATCCTCCTTTGAATATTTAGGTTTCAAAGCTGAGTTTAAGATTGAAAGTTTTACCATCTGGGACCAAAGCTAATGCTATGGTTGCCATTTCTGACGCCTGGCTGGCCTTTCAATCTGCCAAATTATTTCCAGTTTCCTGATCAGTGTTACCATTTTGATGCCCTCAACAATGCATGATGGCTACTTTTTCAGAGAGTTTTATGGTTTCTAACAGCCTTAAAATTTCCTCCGCATGTTTTGTTTACTTTGTGCTGTGAATAATCCTCGTTCTTTCCATATGGTGCATGAGCATGTACTACTCCAAAAGCATATTCCTAATCTTAAACTTTTTCCCTTTTGCTAGTTCTAAAACTTTGGTCAAGGCAATTATTTCAGCCTTCTGAGCAGAAGTCCCTACTGGCAATGATTCAGCTTCTATTACTTCGTCAGTGGTGATCACAGTGTATCCTGCCTTACGGGTTTCCCTGTTTTATGAAGCTGCTTCCATCCATGAACTAGGTGACTTCAGCATTCTCAAGTGGTTCTTCTTTTAAATCAGGTCTACTGGAGAAAATGGCTTCCATGATCTCCAGACAGTCACAGGTTACAGGTTCTGATGTGGTCCCACTGAGAAAAGAGGCTGGATTCACAGTGTTATAGTGGTTCATAATTGGCACCATACTGTAATTCCAAGGAAAGTTTGGAGTTCTTTTGCCATTCTGGGTTCACGTGTGCAACAGATGGCCTCTTTCCGTTCTCAGCTCGGTTGATCTTCAGGAATCCCAAATCCTAAGTAGGTCACTTGCTGCTGGACCAGTTGAGCTTTCTGTTGAGATACCCAATATCCACTAAGTCCCAGGAAGTTAAGCAAACTGAAAGTCCATAGTACACAGTCTTCCTTCATGCTTGTAGCTATGAAAAGGTCACGTACAGATCGTAGTAAAATTCCTCCTCGTGAGGGCAGGGTCCAGGTTTCAAGTTCTCAGGCCAATTGATTCCCAGAGATAGTTGGGCTGGTTTTAAAACCTTGTGGTAACACTGTCCAGGTTAACCGTTTTGGTTGGTTTTTTTTCCCTCCCTGTATCAGGGTTTCCTCATTCAAAAGCAAATAGCTTCTGGCTTTATTTTTTGCTTCCCTCATATCAAAGGGGTCCTACGGATCAGCACAGTGAAGGGCTCCTCCAGGATGGTGCGACAAGCTGATCTTCTGGGCTACTTGTGATGAAAGGCTGAAATGGCAAATGAGAGGCTCTTCTGTGGAGGTGTGATACGGGGCTGATAGGGATCACTGCAGAATTGGCACGGTGAAAGCCTGCTCCAGGACACTGAAACTGTGAGTTCCTCCAGCACAGCATGATGAAGAGCTGCTCTGGAGTGGTGCAGCGAAGGCCTCCTCTGCAGCAGAGTGAAGCAGCGCACGTCCAGGGGACCATGATGAGGGGCTCCTCTGAGGCAGTGTGGTGAACGGCTCCTCCAGGGTGGTGTGAGGAAGGACTCATCCGGGCAGCGCAATGAGGACCGCCTACGGATCAGCACAGGGAAGGGCTCCTTGGAGACAGTGTGCTGAAGGGCTACAAGAAGATCCAACCAGCGTGGGGAACAGCCCCTCTGGGTGGGGATGATGACATGCTCCTCTGGCATGACACGGTGAACTGTTCCTCCGGTGCAGCGTGGTTGAGGAATCCTTCACGACAATGTGGTGAAGGGCGCCTCCAAGAGCAAACCAGTAAATGCATCATCCAGGAAGGCATACATGGGCAAATATAAGATATGTACGATAAAATACGATACACATGACACAGACAATCCAATAAACACCATATATTACATACATTACCATGCAATGCATAACACAGAGAAAATACAATACATACCATAGATAAAATGCAACATACACGATATAAGCACAAAACCAAACAATAAAATATATATAATACAAAACATTCAAGATGAAACAATTAAAAAATACAGCAAAATACATACAACACAAAATATGACAAACCATAAAATACCAACCATATAAACAATAGAATATATAAAATGAATTACAATGCAAAAAATGACACATAATACCATACACACTACAAAAAGCTACATCCCATATTCACAACTAACACAATACACATGATGCACAAAATACCAGATAAAATAAAAGATAAAATACAATCAATAAAACACCATAAATACAATACAATGCCAAACAGCATGTACAACACAAAAGATGATCCAATAAAAACTAAAATAAGAACCTGACTCCGAAGTAGGGATGAAAATTGGCTACTCTGCGGCAGCAAGGTGAAGGCCACCTCTAAGGCAAGACTCGTCCAGGATGGAGTGATCAAGGCCTCCAAGAAGAGCTGGGATGTGCCATGAAGAGCTCCTCCGGGGCGGCGCAGCCAAGGGGAAGGGCTCCTCTGCGGAGGCAGACGTTACAAACCATACCATACAATACCATACCCACGATACAAGACAGACAATGCCCTACAGACCACACCATAACTTACAGACCTTACCCAATGGTGCAAACCACACCTGCCGTACAACACTACAAACAACCTACAGACAAGGAATCACAAGACAAAATACAATACACACAATCCAGCCCCAAATCCATTACAAAACACACACTAAAACACAAAAGGTACTGCAAAAGACAAAACACATTACAATGCCAAGTACATCACAAATATATCCAAAATACAATACATTACAAAGAAAAATAAGTTTCCCTACAAAATACATCAAAAGCAACCCAAAATACAATCAATATTACATTACCAATGAAAAATTTCCAGACACAGTATATTAGAAAATAAAATACATACACAATGCAAGGGAAGATAGAAAAACCTCCAATACATTCAATGCTGTACAGTACATACGATAAAATACCATGCAACCAATAAAACAGATGATACAATGCAAACTGCATAGGATACAAGCAATACCATTCCATACATACAGTGTGCAATATGATATAAACCAGAACACAATACATAGAGTATATGAAATGCAACACATACAACACATCAAATATATAACACAAATATCTATACAGAGAATACGTACAAACAGAACAATACCCACAGTGATATAGAGATTATTTAACCTAGGATACATTCCAGACCATAAACACACACCATACCATGCGTACAATAACATCAATACCAAAGCCAAATCGTACTGTACAATAGATACCATAAATAGGCTACGACACTTACCAAAAATACAAAACAGAACACACACAATATATGAAATACCATACTATACCATACACAAATTAAAATAATATCCAAAGGACTACATATTCTAATACATAGAAACACTATGATCCATACAATACAGATGATGCGTAAGACACTACATAACAATACAGAACATAAGACACTACAACTCATACAATACCGTAAATACCTAAGCAGATGCTACAACACAATACACCCTGCAGTACATACCTCTAAATATCATATGACACAGGACACAGAGTAAAAAATGCCCACTAACAATACAATACAAAGTACCACTCAGCCAATGCAGTACAGCATAAAGGACGGACAGCACCAGACAACAGAAAACCCCAGACCACACTTACCAGACAATACTTACCACACGCTGTCTGCAGAGGGGGGCCTGCCTGCTGCTCCGGCGTCACTCACCAAAGCCCAAAACTCTCTCACGAGGCACCATGCTCAAGGGCTCCTCCCCCACAGGGGTGAAGAAGAGCTCACCAGGCACAATGGCAGTGAAAGGCTCCTCTAGGGCAGCGTGCTGAAGGGCTGCAACAAGACCCACCAAATGTGGGGAACAGCTCCTCTGTGGCCAGGATGATGAAGGTCTCCTCTGAGGTTGCAGGACAAAGTGTTCCCTCCTGCAGGAATGAAATGCTCCTCGGAGCTGGCACATTGAGGGGCTCCTCCACACCAGCATGATGAGGAAACTCTGGGCCATAGCATGAGGTGAGACTCCTCCATGGTGGCAAGATGAAGGACTCTACTATGTTGGCATGATGAAGGGCTTTTACACATCATCTCTGGCAAAGTCTCTTCCCGGATACCGATGATTATGATGCAATCCCCCACAGCATTGTGATGACTCCTCTGGGTCCAGTACAAGGACGGGATCCTCAGGGTCACTGCCATCAAGGGCTCCCCTGGCCCAGCACAGCCAAGGGCTCCTTCATGCCCTCAGGGCAAAGGGCACCTCTGGGGAAGGCTGGGGAACAGCTCCTGACACACAGCACGGTGAAGGGCTTCAAAACCAGCTGGACAATGCAATGAGGACCTGCTCCATGACGGCATAACGAGAAGCTCCTCGGGAGTGATGATGAAAATGGTCTTCCCAATACTGCCTTTGTCAACAGGCTCCTCTGGGGTGGCAATATGAAGTTCTTCTCTGGTGAAGGGCTCCAAGAAGATTTAGGCAGCATGGGGAACATCCCCTCCAGGGAGAGAATAATTATGAGCTCATCCAGCAGCATGTGCTGAAGGGCTCCTCCAGGGCAAAAATAGGCATTCCACATACTACACAAAATACCCCTGCAGTTAAACCTACAATTTTGTAAACATCGGCTGAAAAAAAATTAAGAAAGTCTACAACTAAATCAAGATCCTCAAAAATAGAATGTCTGCCATGCATTTAAGGTCTTTCTCAATTTGTATCTCAGAAAGGAAGAAGAAAAATTTTATGTTTATTCAGGAGCACTCTAAGCAGCCCTTACATCATCAGGTAGCTATTTGCCTTCCCCTCTCACAGTCAGAAGTACTTACTAGCATTTAATTAAGACCTTAATGCTTAAATCCTGATCTGTTACTACTGAAAGACTGTCAAAAAGAAAAATTCTAATCCAGAAAGCACTTGTTATTATTGTTGTTTCCTGTATTTCAGCTTCTTCCACAGTGAGTTACACACCAGTCACACAAAACACAGCTTTTGGCCTTAACAGCCCCTGTTTCAGCAAGACAACATACTTAATCTCAGTATGTTTAGACAAAAATATTACACAGCAAATAAACATTTCAACTGAGTTTCAACATCAAGATCCTTTGAAGAGATTTTGCTTTGTTGTTGTTTCACATCCACGTTCTGGTCTAGATTGTGCTGAGACTATTTCCCACTAATAACGAAGAGAAGATGCTTTTGTTCTTAAGCAGCAAGCAAGCTTTGCCTCCAAATTTCATAAATTAAGATTTAGAACCTTGAACTCATTTCCTTTGTTACTTTCCTCACACTCCTGAACTCTACCATTATAAAGGAGAGAAGCCATGGAAAGAAAGTTCTAACACACAGGCTTCCCATTTCTTCAGCTACCAATTCAGTTCCTATATTAAGAAATACCAATACTCAGTCAACAGTGGACTCCACACTCCACCAAGCTCTTGTGGTGATGCACTCGAAGATAAACTTGGTGATGAAGCACTGCTGAAGAGACCTACAGGGAAGCTCCCCAAACAGCCCAGGTGGGGAATCACTCACCCCAGAGCACCAGGCCATGAAGGAACCACAAACAGCCAGACAGCGAAGGACTCTAGAACAGCTGGCGCTGAACTGCTCCTCCAGGGCCATGGGGTGGTGCGCTCCCCACACGCTTCAAAACTGTCTTGGGTGGTCCTAGAAAACAGCAGTGAAATAGTTATTTACATTCTCATCCAGAAATTCCCAGACAACACCTGCACAGCATTCCTGTCACTCTTCCAGAGACAGTAATTCCCAGCAAGCCGCATGAAAGCTCTTGAATCCATCCCAAGTCATCGCCTCCCAGGGCTCCCTGAGAAATTCCCCGTTTCTCACTACTTCTGCTGGGCTAAAGGACCACACGGCACATTCCCACAAGAGAAATGCTGCCTGTGTTTAGCCGGACTACACCCGATAGATACACAAATGCCCTACCTCCCCCCAGACCCTGCTATCGCATAGGGCTCAGTCAACTCTGGGGCCACCCTCTCCTAATGCTTCTGAGAGCTGCCATCCCTCACAGGTGGCACCTGTGCAGGGGCACAACCCGCTGCTTGGCCTTTGAAAAAACCTGCAGTTCACAAGTTGCCCTTTGTGGCCCAGATACAAGGTGGCCCCCAAAACATTCCCCAGTCCCTTCACATGACCCCCCCCCACAGCTCCTATTTCACCCGGGAGACACTTCTCTGCTCCTGTGGTCACTCTCCCCTCACCCTCACTCTTTGCCCACTACGTAACAGATACACAAACAGCACAAATTCCACACCTGCATCAGCTTGGGAGACTCGTCTGAGCTCCCGGGATGAAGCACAAGACATTCACACAGCAGAGACTCTGCACACGGACAAAAGGCTTTCGACTGTTTCTCATTCTCCAGCTGTAGGCTGAATAGAACATGACAGCATATTTACTGCCCATGCTCGGAAAAGTTTTGCTGGGGTTTTTATATCTGTGAGCGGGGCATTAACAAGAGAGCACCTGTTTTACACCTTGCTTAGCTGAAGCTCTTTTCATGTTTACATCTGATGGAGATAGCACATACTCTACACACAGAACAAGTCCTGCATTGCCTGAGTGAGGCAATTTTTGTCTGGCTGGATATAAAATACACACATATAGGGCACCATCTGGATAGATTTACTCATGCAGAATCTACACAGAAAACATGCAGCAAGTATCTACAGACTATGTAGGGACAGACACACAGAGATACATCTAAAGATGTCTGTCAAGTATCCACACACACCCTGACACAGTCTATACAGGCACTAACTACTCTGTCTCTGGCAAGAGAAGCCTCAGCTGATCTCTGACACAGAGAAATGATTACTTGTTTTAAGATTTATTTACTTATTTACTTATAGAAAACTTCTTAGCAACTTATTTACTTATAGAAAGTTACAGTATTTTTTCAATATTGCTAAGATTCCTGCTTGCCCAGACTGTTCTGTGGAATTTTACCAAGGACTACTGTGTTCATCAAAACAAAGCAGTTCTCTGTGAAAATCTACCAAGGACTACAGTGTTCAGCAAAATATTACACTTTTGGCCTTGAGGAACAGGTGTCTCTAACTAGTTGGAATCTTAATAATGAGTAAAGATAACCATACGGATGGTAGAAGTTCTACTGGTTCTCTTATCTAAGATAGAAAGTAAACCATCTGAAAAACAGTTGTTATTCAAGAAATTGGCCAAGAGAATCTGTGCATGCTCCAGGGAAAAAACAAAGTGAGAAAGACTACAAGCCTTCCTTCCAAAGACGCCCACCAGGAGGCAATGCACAGGTACAAAGATGACATAAACTGTTGACATCAGCCTTTCTAAGTAACCCAGCCGAACTCATGCATATGTATGTTTGTGTTATGTAATCCAATGATTATGGATATCCACACCCTATAAGTTTTGGTGGGTGTGCAAGCTCTGTGGAGAGATCCCCTTGCACCTTGGTGCCTGAGTAAACAGACCTGCTTTATAACTCTGTTCGAGTTGTAGCATCTTTTTTCCGTGAACCACCTCTCTGAGGCCTTTCTCCCCTCTGTGTTCGGAAGATACATTATCTGTGCATAAAAAAGGAAACAGCCCCAGGAAGCAAAACCATGTCTTTCTACCCGTGGATGCACTCTGCACACAGAACACATACACACTTTGCACATGGCATGCACACTACAGAAAGCAGACAGACAGCTGAGGGGACGCTACGCTTCTCTGCCTTGCGGTTCAACAGATACAATCTCTGCATGGAACACAGACACTCAAGGCCATGGCAGGAAGGCCATTCCTTTCCGTGAATGCAGTGTATCCTGGCTGTACTCAGGACACGTGCCCATCCGTACACACACTTTACACACAGGCGTACACAGAGCGAGAGGCAAGGCATTGCTTTTCTGGCTGGACAGAGCACAGGGACTGTCTGCGCACAGGCTACAGCCATTCTGTACTCAGAGTAGACACAAACAGGCGAGGCAGGTTGTCTCTGCCTAAAGACGACAGCCTCTTTCTCAAGAAGACAGACCTGTACGGCAGCACTCTTCTGTCCGTACACAGAAGTGATCCGAGCCACAAAACACTGGCAGGGCTGAAAACAGGATCGCGTTTTCCTCTACAGAACACACTCTGTGCGCAGCACGTGCATAGAGAGGAGAGGAAGGCTCTTCAGCCCATAAAGTACACAGCCTACCCATCTGTGGAACGTACACAGGCAAGGTGACCAGAGGCTTTGCTGTCTGCAGAGACAATACAGGGGCTAAACAGAGACACCCCTAGAAAAGCCATGTCTCACCTATCTCTGCATTTAGTATTTACCATCTGTGTCGGCATGACATGCCAACTACATGGGGAGACTTTTCTATCACTGGTCAGAATATATACTGGCTTCCTCAAGACAACACCTGCACAGGTAAAGCCAGACACGGTATGTAGCTTGCAACAGGATATACTCTGCCTATAGAAAAGAGATGGTGAGGGTTTTCTCTCTGGGGATAGGCTACGTTCCATCTGTAGATGGACTGTACACAGGCAAAACACATCTTCTCTGTCTAGTCACACGCTAGATACTGCCAAGGCAGGGTTTTATGGACTGCTTATACAGTGCACACTGGCTGTACAGAGAACAGAAAACACCAGGAGGGTGAGGCAGGGCAACACCTTCCTGTCAACATAGACTGTAAAAGGACTGCACGGAGAATACATGTGGAGGGCACCGTGCGCCACTTTCCTGGCAGGACACAGAATGAGTTCTGGTTACAGAGCAAAGATGGGCCAGGCAAGGCAGGGCTTCTCCACCCACCTTCAGGGGAAACCTGGGCAGTCTGAGGGTGAAGGGGGACTCTCTGCACATCAGGCCCACAGAAGCACACAAACGGGGGAGGTGAGGCTTCTCTCTTTGCAGAGCAAAGACTTCGTGCACACAGGTAGTGTAGGGCTCTCCTGCCTGTCTGTGGAACACAGGCTGCCTATAGACCAGAGGGATGGCTCAGGACTCAGAACACACATGGCTCATCTCTACCACAGACCCGCAGAGTCTGGGGAAAGTGGGGTGCTCCTGCCCATACACTGCCAAGACCCTCTTTGCAGAGCACAGGCAGAGGGGCGAGGCAAGGCAAGACTCCTATCTCCATTTGCAGAATACACCCCAAGGGGCTGGGGAAAGCAGGGCAGGCCTTCTGCATTGCTTGCACGGGCCTGCAGGGAGCTTCTAACACAACCACCTCCTGCTGTGCTTTCCTCAAGTCCCCCACACATCTCCCAGGCACCCAGATGGACACCAAGGACCAGTAACGTCATCCCTTTCTCTGCAGGCAACAGGCTGATCTCGGAATAGGGACGAATGATGATGAAATGCACTGAGTGCAAGGGATTTTTCTCTAACCAATTCCCACTTCTGAGCCAGAAGTGATGCTTTTCACAGAATCACCTAGGTTGGTAAAAACCTTGAAGATCACCCAGTTCAACCATTTCCAAAGCAACAGGGATTCTACAATAACCTGAGGTGCTGCTAAATTTCTCCATTTTGCACGTCTGGGTGCAAACAGACCTGTCAGACAGGCACCAGGGGTCAGGGCCGCTTCTCGGAAGATACGCACACAGGACCAGGGAAAACAGATTACTCGTGGCTTTCAGGCCAAGGAATCAAACACCCAGCTTTGAAGGGCCAAGCATAGCTCAGCGTGAACACCAGCTATCGCTACACCAGCTTCTGAAATCCAAAGAAAGCAACAAGCAAGCCAGGGCACTTGAGCCCACACCCCACAAGACTTTCACACAGAGAAGGCCAGGGGGCCTCTCTGAAAGCAAGTCCCCTCTCCCCCTGCCAGCAGCAGGGATGGAAGAGCAACAGGCACCCACCCCATGAGCAAAGGCACACTGGTGAGGCTGCTCTGCAAAGAGGGCTCCACACCACATTTCCAGCCAAGCCCCAGGAAGCTGGCTAGCACCGGATTAACCCTCCTGCTTGCTCTGGGGATGATGCCCGTGGCCGTGGGTAGTGCCCAAGCCAGGACCCTTCTCCCCACGGCCAGCACAGAGAGGCTGGAACTCCCCGAGCACAGAGTCCCTGGCTGGCTTTGCACCCCCACTCCCCACAGGTGCAGCTCAGGGCACGGGCCAGCCTGCATTTATCCCACACCAATAACTCTGCCTGACAGACAGGCTGGAATGGGCTTCTGTGTAGGAATCTACTAACCAGCCCCTGTGTCAAAAAGCCACCAGCAGGTCTGGCAGTGCCAGGGGCAGGGGCAGTCACCATCTCTGCTGGGGGTGAGGGGCAACACCCATGCTGCCCAGCCCCCGACCACACAGCTCAGCCTCTCACCCGGAGGGACCTCACAGCAGGGCCGGCCACAGGCTCCGGACCTCCAGGCGGGCTGCCCACCACCGGCTGCCTGCGGGGAAAGGGGCTTTGCCCCCTCACCTGTACCTTGCACACAGGGCCAGCCCCCCAGCCATTCTCCTCCAAAGAGCCGCTGCCGCCCTCCTCCTCACCCTTCCCCTTTTTCCCCTCACGATGGCAGCGCCGCTCCAGCCGCCACAGCTCCAAGCGCAATGCCCGGTGGCACCACCGCCTCCAGCTGATGCTCCCTCGAGCCGTTACTGCCCAACTGCCAGCGGCGCGAGCAACTGACGCCTCGCGGAGCGGGGCCGCGAGGGGAGGGGGCGGGGCCTGCACGGACAGGTGCATTCTCAGCTGGGAGGGGGCGGGGCCTGGGCGGAGGGGCGGGGACTGTGAGCAAGTG